CACATGCATGTATGACTACATGTACAACTAAGTAAACATGAATGCATGCCTGACTGCATGCATACATGCGCACATATATACATAACTGCATGCACTCATGCATCCATACACACATACTTACTTACTTACTTGCTTACTTACACACACTCGCCCGTCCATACATACTCACATCAATACATACATGCATCTATACATACACACAGGCAAGCATACATACATACACCAATATAGCCATACATGTATGCATGCATGCATGCGTACATGAACCCATTCGTATCAATTAATCGCATCATTCCGGACTCCGTGGAATCTGTCCCAGGGGGACAATTAGGACAATGATCATTCGCTGGCGAATCAATGGTAGTCGGGATCCAGGGAGGAGGGGGGACCATGTTTGAACAGTGTTTGGACAGTCTAAGAACATGAGGAAAACATATTGGATTGGAGCCACAGGGGAGAGGCAATCGATGGGAACATAGATAAACCAAAAAATGATTCGTGCCCAAATAAGGGCCCAATCGATAGTAACATACGCAGAACACGTAAGACTAGAGCCACAGGGAAGGGGCAATCTATGGTGCCATACGTAAAACACCAAGGACTCGACCAGAACGCAGACGAGTCTGGCCACTTAAACAAGCAAGCCGCTCGAGACATCCTCGCAACCGAGACGTCCTAACCATCTGCTCCGAACGCAGAGGATGTTGGGTTGGTAAACAGGCAAGCCGCTCGAGCGAGGCGTCCCCGCGATCTGGGCGCCAACGGACGAATGAGGTACTCCCTGGCGGCCGCCCCACTGAGGGCAACCGGCGCCTCGCAAGAGGCGTCCTCAACATCTGCCCTGAACGCAATTGAGCCTGGCCACCACAGCAAGCAAACGGATCGAGGCGTGTTCGCAATCTGGGCCCAATGGTGTGCGAAAACCAACGCCTCGCGTGAGACATCCCCGCAAACTGACCCGAAAACGAACGATGGTGAGCACGCAAGCGAACAAACCGCCTGAGACATCTCACCATCTGGGCGCGAAAGGGACCGTGCAACATCCCCCAGTCGCCCCACTTTGGGAGTGCTGAAACCAGTGCCTCGCCTGAGACATCCTCACAAACTGCTGCGAAAGCGAAAGATGTTGAGCACGCAAACGAACAAACCGCCTGAGACCTCCTCACACCCTGGACGCGAACGGGCCTGTGCAACCCACCCCTGCCGCCCCCATTTGGGGGTGCTGAAACAAGCGCCTCGCCTGCGACCTCCTCAACATCCCCTCCGTCAGCGGAGGATGTTGGGGCGCAAAACATGCAAACTGCCTGCGACGTTCCCACACTCTGGGCGCGAACGGGTCCGTGCAATACCCCCCTGGCGCCCCCGCGTGGGAGTGCTGAAACCAGCGCCTCGCCTGAGACATCCTCAACATCTGCTCCGAAAGCGAATGGCGTTGGGCACACACATAAAGCAAACCGCCTGAGACCTCCTCACACCCTGGGCGCGAACGAGCCCGTGCAATATCCCCCTGCCGTCCCCCTTTGGGAGTGCTGAAACAACCGCCTCGCCTAAGATAGCCTCATAATAATTTCCGGTATAGAGTATTGGCATCTTGATGGTCATCAGCATCGTCATCACCACCATCGTCATCGGCGACATGATCATCGTCAGCATCCACACCACCATTGTCATCATTATTATCAGCAGCAGCAACATCATCATCATCCTCATCATCATCAGCGTCATCCGCAACATCAATATCAGTATTATTACGACTGGAAATAACAACATCATTAATAGTTGTGTACCTTTTAACGGCCCAACAGGCCTTCAAGACGCCCCAAGAGGTCCCTAAGAGGTCCCTAAGCGGCATCCCAAGAGGGCTCCCACAAGCAAAAATCGTCTCGTTCCCTTGGGAAAACGTGCATTTTTAACATATCCGCCTCTTCGTCTTTCACACCTTTCAAGGCGGTCCAAGAGGCCCCCAAGATCACCCCAAGACGGCCCGAGAGACCCTCAAGACCGCTCAAAGACGGCCCAAGAGCGCTCCAAGAAGGCCCAAGAAACCCTCAAGAACTCTTTTTCGGAGCCCAGGAGGGCTCCAAATCGGTCCAAGAGGGGCCCGAGAAGCCCTCCAGACGGTCCAAGAGAGCCGGGAGACGCCGAAATATCACCCCCAAGCGCCTACGATGGCCTCAAGACGGCCCAACAGGCCTTCAAGACGCCCCAAGAGGTCCCTAAGCGGCGTCCCAAGAGGGCTCCCACAAGCAAAAACCGTCTCATTCCCTTCGGAAAACGTGCATTTTTAACATATCCGCCTCTTCGTCTTTCACACCTTTCAAGGCGGTCCAAGAGGCCCCCAAGATCACCCCAAGACGGCCCGAGAGACCCTCAAGACCGCTCAAAGACGGCCCAAGAGCGCTCCAAGAAGGCCCAAGAAACCCTCAAGACGGTCCAAGAGGCCCCAAGACGGCCCCATGATTGAGGTCCACAGGGGCAACCTGAACGGAAATTTTGAGCCTCCCGCCCAAACACGCCCCCGAAATGCCCCTACAAGCCCCCAAGTAGCCCCACGAAGCCCCCAAGAGAGCCCCAAGAGGCCCCCAACAGGCCGCAAGAAAGCCCCAAGAGGCCCCCAAGAGACCCCCAGGAAGCTCCCAGGAGGCCCCCAAGAGGCCAGGCAGACCCCCCCAAGAGACCACCAAGAGGGCCCACCCAGAGCCATCCACGAGGCCTCCCAAAGTTCCCAAGAAGCTCCCACGAAGCTTCCAAAGGCTCCCAAGACCCCCCAAGAACCCGCGATGGCGCAATACGGGCCGGCGGAATGAGCGAAGCGATTCAATAACAACATCATTAATAGCTGTGTACATTTTAGATCTAACAGTACGATTCGCAGCATTATCATTATCATGCTCGTCAGCATCAGCATCATCAGTTTCGTCATCGTCATCATCATCATCATCATCACCATCATCATCATCATCATCATCATCATCATCATCACCAGCAGCATCAGCATCAACACCATCACCATCACCATCACCAGCATTGCATCATCATCAGCAACAGCAGCGTCATCATCATAACCACCAGCAACAGCAACAGCAACAGCAACAGCAACAGCAACAGCAACAGCAACAGCAACAGCAACAGCAACATCATCATCATCATCATCATCATCATCATCAGCATCATCATTCACACTGTGAGATCATCATGCTGTGCCTGAGTACGTCTTATTGAAATGAAGAGGAGATGCTCCTTCTCGGCGCTGTCAAAGAAATAAGAGCTCCATCTCAAGATATGGGGAGAGCCCATCCACACCTGGCGCGAGAAAAGGGCACCACCAAGAGGATCTGAGGATGCGCTCCGGCTCCCTTCACGAGCAGGAGGCTTAGTGGACTGTCTTGGAGATGAACACGCGGAATTCGAGCTTCTGGTAATCTAATACTTTTTGAGAATGTGAGAAAATATCTGCTTCGAGCGAACCCCACCGAATCCTTGGGCCCCTGTCCTCCTCCTCCTGCCCCATGCCTCCTTCCCCTCCTCCTTCCTCCCCGCTCCCATCCTCAGACAGAGGGGCGCAGGCGAGGAGGCCGCCCGCGGCGGAGCGGCGGCAGGCACTGCGGGACTCTCGGGACAACGGGGGGCTGGCCTGGTGTTGGTGTGGTCTGTGATCTTCTCTAATGCTCTGGTTTGGTTTGTTCTGTGATGTTATGCGGTTCTCTGTTACGTGACGTTCGGCTCTGGTTTGTTATGCTATACATTGGTTTGTCACGGTCTGTCATGTTATGATATGGTATGTTGTGCTATGTCTACTCTGTTGGTCTGTTATGGCGTGAGATGCTCTGGTATGTCTGATGTATTGTCATGTTATGTGTTGTAATGACACTGCCATGTTATGTTCCGTCATGTTATGTCATGGTTGTATTATGGTATGATATATTACATTGTGGCACGTTTGAATTCTGTCGTGTTCATCGCTATGCTCTGCTGTCGTGTTACGATATGTTCTGAACGCTGGGTCATGATATGATATGTCCCGTGAAGGTGCGTTATGCTATGATCAATTATGTTATGTTAGTGTATGGTCTGTCGTATTATGTTATGGCATGCTCTGCCCGGGTATGTTTTGTGATGTTACATTATGCCCTATGCTATAATGGCGTTGCTATGTTATGTTCTGTCATGTTCTGTTGTGCAGTGTTGTGCTGCTTCGTGTTTGTCGAGGGCGCGAGGCGGGACTCCCAGGGACACTCGGGGACTCTCGGGAAAACTTGGGGTCTGGCGGCCCCGGTCTGCAGTCGGGTTCCAAGTGCGAGGGGGCGGGATTCCCACGGACTCTCGGGGATACTGGGGGATTCTCGGGACAACTTGGGGTCTGGCGACCGCGGTATGCAGGGCGGAGTTGGCCGGGGGGTCTTTTCTTGAAATCTAACAACCCCAACCTGTCGGGTGTGGAGGGGGGGGGGACAACAAACGAAAAGATCTGGCGCACCTGCCGCATGCCCCTCGAACCCGCTAAGGCGAACGGCACCAGGAAACGTTGCGCCCAAATCTGAACACAATTGTTTTACATGCGCGAGAGGTCGCCCCGTGGCTAGGCGAGGGAGGGGGGGAGGGGAGGGAGGGAAGGGGAGGGGGAGGGGGGGGGATCACCTGCCCACAGACACTGTCACGCTCCCTGGCTTACCAGCTCTGTGCGCAGGCTGCTGCGCATGATCTAGCATGCCCGAGGCGAGCAAGTGCACGCACAACCGCCAAGAATCAGTTGACACGCCCTGGGCACGGGAAACATGGGCACGATGCCCCAGAGCAAGTGATGTCTAAAACCGACAGCGGCCGCTGCTGGGCAGGCGACTTTCTATCCCAACTGAACGACGTCCGCGGCGCTATCGACGACGAATCCTGTTCAAAATGCGCAAAAACTGCTCTCGATCCTCGTCACCATTCTTTCTGCACCCATGCCGATCTTCCAGAACAATCAGAATCCCGACTGGCACGCTGCCTCCCATCCCGGCTCCTGTGGCAGCCCAGGCATCTGCGGCATCATGCCGCTCATGCTGGGCCTCGGTGGGAGGGGCCGCGGGACTTGCGAGCAAGAATCTGGTCACTGCCGAAGCTCGGCAGCCGGGCGGCGTCAGCGAGCTCTGACCAAACCTTGAGCCTCCGCCTCGCAGGGCCGCGGACATAACTGCCCAGAGATCTGCTGCTTTGATCTTTCCGATACGAGGTCCCCGAAGGTGAAGGCTTTCCTGATTCGGGGTTTCGTCATTGGGAGCAAGGGGGGGAGGTGTCTGGCTCCGGACCTCTGCTTACTGCGACTGTTCGCAACAGTGCGTCCTATGGGGAGACCCCACCTGCTTGAAACAGGCGCCAAAAATAGCCAAGACCTACTCCATGGGGAGAGGGGAGAGGGAAGAGCGAGGGCCCGCGTCGATCAGCAGAACAATGAAAAAGAACACGACGACAAAATACCGACCCTCCCCATGGTTGGCTTTGCATCATGAGTCTTTGTTTGATGGTCTCGGGGCCCAGCCAGGGAGCCTGGAGGCCAAGAACGACAGAAAACATCCGTATCAAATGTTCATACGGTGGAGATCTTGGTACAATAGGAGCTCGACCACTAAACACCTTCCACAAGAAACCCCACCCTGAGACCCCAGGACGACCAGTATTTTTTTGGTGTGGGAAGGTCACGCATTCTCCAGCGAACCACCGAAAACCAAGAAACTCAGGGCACCCTGGAAGCAGGCAGGGTGCTTCTTGGCACGGGTCGGGGCGTGACCCGTCCCCCTGAGCGGCTCGCCCCTTCCGCCCCCTCTTTCGGCCGCTTCCTTTGCCTTTTCCCCCCCTCCGGCATGGTGGCACAATTCGCTACAACGGTACCCCGTTGAGGTAGCCCTCCGCCAGCGCAGTTACCCTGCCGAGCCGCCGACGCAAACAAGTTTCTTGGCATGGGTCTCCACTACAGTAGGGGCCAGTCCACAAGGAACCTCCCACGAGAGACTCAGCCCTGAGGCCCCAGGACGTCCATCGACTCTTGGCGTGGGCACGTCGCGCCTCCCACGGCAAAACCGTCGATAACCCGAGAAACCCAGGGCGCCCTGGAGGCAAGCAGGATGGTTCTTGGCATGGGTCTCTACTGTATACACCCTGCGAAATGCTTAAGAAATCATGGGTTAAGAAATTGATAGTCTCAGAATTTAAATAAAAACCCAGAATGCCCATTCAAATCTTAGGATTTACATTGAAACATTAAGAATAATCGAGACTCTGGCCGAAAACTTAGGTTTTCCTAAGCATCGCCTAAGGTGTACTGCCCAAGGCTGGAGCACGCCCGTCCAGGGCGCGCCAGCGCCGCGGGTCGACCCCGCTGGCCGCGACATCGAGCGACCTGCCGCGCCACTCCTCCGCGGCGGTCCCCCGACCGGAATGTGTGTCGCCTGGCGTTGCGTCGGGCCTGTCCCTCTACAGGAGGAAGGTTCAAGCATAGTGCTAAAACATAGTCCGGGGACGATGTTTTGAGCATGTTTGGCTATTTGTTGCATGTGTTTGCATATGCTTAGGGTATGTCATATTTTTGCTGTCCAAAATCCGCCTGTAGGGGGACATGCCCGACCTACGCCTGGCGTCGCCCATCCGCCGCCGAGCCACTGCCACCGGGGGGGCGCCAGAGTGCCCGACAGCCCGGTGTCGAGGGAGGACGCGTGATGATCATCCCCAAAATGTCGCGGGATCTTGTCGAATGGGATCTCTGGGACGCGCAAAGACATGCTAGTACTATACGTTCTCTTTGGAAGCGCGTGTCCTGCCCAAACATATAGTATACCCACCTTGTAGTAGTTTCGTCCCCACTTCCCATAGTTTCGCATATATTCCCGGGAATCGACGATGAATTGAGTCTGCGTTTGTTCTTCCTGAAGAGTGCCCGTCAGCCTGTCATCGAGGGAGGACGCATGATGAAGATCCCCAGGACGTCGTGGGATCACTGTCGAATGAGATCTCGGGGTCATGGTCCACGCGGGCCGTCGCCGATTCGTGAGGAGGACCTACGCATCGGCGGTGACCAAGATGGACGGTGACCAAGATCGGCATAGACGCGTCCGCGTTCGGTGTGGATCATGATCGCAATTTTTTGTTTCCATCCATGACGGCTAGGGTTTCGAAAATTTCCTCCTCCTCCTGCTCCTCCTCCTCCTGGTGGACACCCTCGCTCTATTCGAACTTGTCCTCCAGGTCCGCCCGCTCATACGGTCCAATGATGTGTTACTGGTCGACGTTATGCTCATGCCGAGGCTCCAGGCTGCCCCCTGAGAGCTGCAAGACGTCCAGAGACCAATGCAAAATGACCCCAAAGCGCCTGCGCACGGGAACCAACAAATGTTTGCAAGAGGCCTTGGTCGGCTCCAAGGCATACAGGGGGCCCCCGCAACGGGCGCTACATAAGGCGCTCGAAAACCCACAGCCATCGAGTAAACGGACGGTTTTACGTACGCAGTTGTGCCTGGGTTTCCTTGGTGCTTTGGCATATCACTGCATCGGTGAGCCCCACGATGGCCCCATAGCCCAAGAGAGCCCCAAAATGGCCCGCGAGGCACTCAAAAGGCCCACGAGGGACCTAATCGAGCCCTAAGAGGGGCACAAGAGAGCCTGATGGGGCGGTTATGAGGGATCCTAAGGAACTCGATTGGGAGGTGTGGCTCCAAACGGTGATTTCAGGACGCTCTTGCGAGACGCCTGGAGGCCCGCGAGAGGCCCCCAAGATCCCCCAAGAGGCCCCCAAAGAGCGAGGGTATTCAAAAATTGTTTTGGGAGAGTATTGTAGCCCTCTGAAGACCACTTCGAGGCCGTCTTGGGTGGGTTCGTCTTGTGGCGTTTTGGTTCCGTCCTGGGTCTACTTGGGGCCCGTATGTTCCCCACCTCCGCGCGCGCTGACCTGACCATTGGCGCAGATGTATAATGAACATTGGCACGGGATGCCCAACGCGGGACCCATTACACGTCGAAGATGAAGTGAACCATGCACATATCAACGCCAGTCCGCAGCTCGAGAAACAACTACGGATCAAAACAGAAGGAGGGGGGACAAGGGGGCAGGCGGGAGGCGGGAACGGAGACGAAAACCTAACAAAGGAGGCGTGGGAACGAGAACACAAACAAAACCAAGCGCCAATACAACCAGCATGACGTCCCATGAAGAGACGGTGGGCGCACTCGGGCGCTTCACTCAGCCAGTCCTGGAAATGTATCACAAGGGTTCCGACTGCGCCCACAGCTCGAGATTGCGAGGAGCATCTGCATTAGATGCAGAAGTGCAGCTTTACATTTGTTTCCTCCATAAACCACGCACTCCCGAAGAACTGCTAGAAGGGCAGCTTCCAAAAAAGGGCAGCTTTAAAAATGCGCCGCTGGCCCGTTCTCTCTGGACCGTTCTATCGGACTGCAGAGCACAGCGTTGAGAATGTGTGCTGGGCTCGCCGCGTCTTGGCCTGGCAAGAGAGGCAGCGCCGCCAACGCCCCTCCCGCTCCAGACGCGGCGTCGTCCGTGCACGTTATTGCTCAAGCTGCGAGTCACGAGGAATGGTGCACACTCGATTTGACGAGGAACGGCTGCGCCGTTTCCTGGTCCGTATGGCCACCAGCGCGTGATCCCTAATATCCCTCAACCTTCACATTCCTCTTCACTCAGACACTCGGGGGCGGCAAAGAGGGGGGTGTCCAAGAGGGGGGGGTGCAACTCATGGCCAGCGGCACGTGCGCGGCCCAGCGGGGGGGGGGCAGGGACGTCCTGAAACAAGAAGAAGCGCCATGACATGTGGGGTAGTATCATGGCCCCCGCCATGATATCCCCCCCCCTTGGTCATCACCCCCCTCTTTGCCGCCCACGACCCCGAGACGCCGCGCGCCATCTCCCCTTCAGCCCACCGGTCCCGCGACGAAACTTGCCTCTCCTTGCCGAGGGCACGGACCTACAAAACGGGCAGATCGATTCGGACAGAGGAGAGAAGTGAACATGGCAGACGGCACGAACAGCATCTCAAGGGGAAGTGCCCAGCCAGGGCCATGTCGGGCGTGCCCCCCTACAGGGGGATTTTGGACGAAACATAAAAATAATGGAAAATGCAAATAACATCGCCCCATACTATTTTTCAACTATCTTTGAATTTTCCTCCCGTAGAGGGACAGGCCCGACTGAAAGCCAGGGGGCAGCGCATGCCAAAAGAGCTCGTCGCCCTCCAAGGCGCCAGGCCGAGGCCCGCGAAGCCCCCGAGAGACGCGCGCGACGAGTGCGCCCAGCCCCCCCCCGCGCGCTCACAGAGAGATCTCCGTAGTGGCGGTCGGGTGCTCGGCGTCAGCGCTCCAGAGCTCGCCGACCGCTGCTCGGCGGGGGCAGCGCCCGTCTCTCCGGCCGCCGCCGACCCCGATGTCGACAGCCGCTGCGGGCCCGCCGGGGGCAGCGTCCGTCTCTCTGGCCGCCGCCGCCGCCCCCTGCGCGCTCATAAAAAAGATCTTCGCAGGGGCGTTCGGGTAGTCGGCGTGGCGCTTGGGCGCGGCGGCGGCCCTCGGAGACGCCAGCGCTCCAGAGCTCGCCAACCGCTGCTCGGCGGGGGCAGCGCCCGCCTCTCCGGCCGCCGCCGACCCGGATGTCGACAGCCGCTGCGGGTCCGCCTCCGCCGCTGCCGCCGCCCTCAGCTGGCGCTGCATCCGGCGCTGCATCCGGCGGCGTTGTGTGCGCGTGGGCGGCTGCACCGGCGACCGGTCCGCCTGCTGGCTCAGGTCGCCCACGCTCCGGTTCCTGCCCTCGCGGCCGGAGAAGTCGTCCTGGCCGTCAGAGGTCGCCTAGCTCTGCGACGACTCGCTTGGTAAGTGAGACGATGTGCTCGCGGCCGAGTCGTCCTCGATTTCGGCCACAATGGCACCGAGCGGCGGCGGGTAGGCCGGCCAGGCAAACGCGCGGTCGCTCGGGCCCCCATCGCTGCTGTCATCCTCGTCCGAGCCCAAACTCGGTGGCGCCATTGGGCATCCTGGGACATCGTCGAGCGCCCGCGCCCGGCGCTCTTGGCCAACATGGCTACGGACCTGCTTGTGGCCCATCTTGAGCCCCTCTGTGGAGCCCTCTCGCGGCAATTTAGGGCCTGGGGCATTCCTGGGTTCCTGTTGGGCTGGCGTGGCCCTGTTTATGGCACTCCTGAGGCTCTGTTGAACAGCTTGGTGTCAGCTTGAGGGCCTCTTTGCCCGTCTCGTGCGCTCTGACGACCGATAAGAAAACAGGCACTGCGAGACGTGGACATGTCCAGATCCACCGCACACGGAGCTGACGCCCTGGGGCCCCAGTGGACAATGGATACGGATATAGGTGGGCACCAGGAAGCCCGCATATATGCATACCCACCGCCTGTCGACGGTTTCCGAAAATCGGTGCACCAGGGGGTGGTTAACCTTTAAAGGTCTTTAGAAGCCCCCCCCAAACACTGCAAACGAATGATTTGTTCGGCGACCTCATTGACGGACTGGGGCCCCACCAGTAGGGAAAAAATTGCTGTTCACCAGCGGCAACAGCCGCGAAATGACGCCGCGCAACGACGCCGACGACGCCGACGACGACGACGACTACTACTGCTAAGAATTATGCTTCAGGAGCGCTCTCCAATAGCAGTAGCAGTAGCACTAGAGAAGGAGGAGGGAGAGGAGGAAGAGGAGGAGGAGGAGCAACAGCAGTAGCAGGAGGAAGACAAGGGGCGAGCTATTAGATTCCCCGGCGAGAGAAAGATTGGGGGAGAGCAGCACTGAAGCCCTCTCTGCAGGTTGTGTATGAACCCCCGCGACCTCCTCAGACCAACTAGCGCATGTGCCGCGTGCCTGCACAGTGTTGGCGGCGCGCAAAAGGGGGTATGGGGGAGAGGGGAAGGCTCCTCGGAAGCACCCTGCTTCTCAGAAGGCCCCAGCCTTACATCTATAGACAAGGCCAGCGCCTTCTAAGAAGCAGGGGTGCTTCTGAGAAGCCCTCCCCCCTCCCCCATACCCCCCTCTGCTGAGCGACCTCCTTAGATCCTCAAACCAAATAACACATGCGCCGCGTGCCTGCAAAGAGAGATCTGTGGAGAACCCAAAAGACACCGCTGCTCCCTGGACCTCTTCCAGGGTGCGCTCTGACCAGGATTTCGATGCGAATCCAGCGGCGGCGACGAGGGCCTGAAGATCGGCCGACCTGCCCACCGGGCGCCCGGCGCAGCGCTTAAAGGACGCCTGAGCGGCCGGCATGGCCATCGCGCCCATCATGCCGCCAGGCATCGACCCGGCGGCGCCCGGCATGGCGCCCATCAGGCCCCCCGGCAAGCCCGCGGCCATGGCGCCCGGCATGGCGCCGGGCATGGCGCCGGGCATGGCGCCGGGCATGGCGCCGGGCAGCCCGCCCATGGCGCCTGCGGGAACCCCAAAGTATACTCCAAGGCACTGAATAATCGCCCCCCCCCGCCCCCCCCAAAAAAAACGGCCCCCCTCCAAGTGTGACCTCATATTCTGGACCCATGCACCCCCCTCTTCGGCGGGGAGCCATAATAAACCGGACCGCCTAAGCTCCAATCCAAAGAAAGCGCCCTAATAAACCGGACCCCCCCAGTTGCAAAAGAAGCGCCTTAAAAAACCGGACCCTGCGGGGGCGATTAACAAGGGATTTGGACTATGTACCGGTACGGGGAAATCTCTGCCGGGGTGCGTGCTGGCCAGGATGCTGAGATGACGCGGGCGGTGGCGACGAGGGCCTCCGAGGAGGCTCAGGCAGACGAAGACAAGGCCTGGCTGGACCAGGAATCAAACGACACCACCCCACCTACGGCTCCAAGGGGCTTCGCGTATACCAAGAAATCCGGCGTGGGATTTTGCGTGGCACACGCTACGGCCCCTTGTCAGCCGTAGCGCAACATGGAGGGCCGTGGGGTGGTGTCGCTTGTTTTTTGGACGACTGGGGGCAGCCCCAGAGATCCGACGTCGTGTTTTTTGTTCCATGCGCGGCCCCCGAAGTATCGACCCAATCCCCAGACCTAGGACGGGCTTCGCTCATCCTGAGCTGTTGTTTGACGGTTCCAGGGCACGGCGAGGGCACCTATAGGGGCCAAACATTGCGAAACCACGCCGTCTTGAACTGTTCCCATATATATATATATATATACACACACGCTGGATCTCCGGGGCTGCACACATCGGCAACTTTGCCTCCCTTCGGAGCGCCGGGCAGCCCCGGCATGCTCAGCATGCTGGGCATGCCAGGCAGCCCCAGCGGGGCCATGCCAGACGCCATGGCTCCGCCCGGCATGCCGCCCGGCATGGACATGGCGCCGGGCATGCCGCCAGGCGCCGCCGCGCTCGGCGCGGCGCCCGGGGTCGAGCCTGGCGGGCGCGCCGGCACCCTGCTCCTCCTCCACCTCCTCCTCCTCCTCCCTGAAGGCCCTGCGTAGTTAGTAACAGTTAGCGGAACTTCTAATTGTTACTAACGGAGTTATAACTAGTTAGGTTTGGCCAGTTTGAAGCTGTTTTTTTAATGTTTATGTTATGTTTTTGCATCTCATGTAGTTGGAAATTGGGGCATCATGATTGGGCGCTTCGTCGATTTGGATCTGCTCAGGGGCCTTCAGATTTTTTATCGTCCTGGGGCAAACGCGACGGTCCGCAGCGCATCATGCTAGCAACATCGCGATTTGTATTCTACTGGCCAAATGCACGTGATGTCGTTCTCTATTTTCCTGTAAATCACAGGAGCTTTCAGCGAGGTCAGAGGCATCAGAACAGGGTCTGTATCATCTAAAAAGATGTGTCTGGAAAAACCTTCAGCGGCGTTCACATGCTTAGTTGTGAGCTGCTGGACAAGCACCTGCGACTCGCCATCGTCGCATTTCACGTGAAACCACACTTGCATTGCTGCATACATCCCGCCCGACCCCAGAAGTACGATATCACCGCGCTTGATGCGGCCGAAATCTGTCATGGCTTCGATGCTGGAGACGGCTGTCTGCGTCCCAGGGCACATGCGTTTCAACGCATTCAGCAGCTTCTGTGTTGCTTTCGTTGGGTCGACTAAGCCAGGTGAAACACGCATGGTCTTTAAATCGTGCGCGTGCTGCGCAGTGAGTTGGACCATGAGAGCCTTCTCTGGCCCCTTCTTGCACATGTGGTCTTTGGCGAAACGTTTTACGTTTTTGTGCTTGCGTTCCTGGACAAAGCAACTGGGCGACCCATGTTTTTTTCAAACATTTCTGGCACATGGGTTGCCATATGGTGCTTATACACCCAATGGCTTTCACCATATGCGTCCTGATGGCACCGAAGATGTTTCACTGTCGCTGACTCTATCTGCGCGGTCGTGACTGGAAGCCGCCGCGCCGCCGCGATGATTATGTCAACGGCATCTTGCAATGCCAGCATACTTGCGATCTGGGGGGCCACTTGATCCAATGAAGGGTGCTTGGCAATTACTTGCCGAATATACCTGCACAAAACAGGCAACGCAGAGATCTCTTCTGAGGCACCTGCTTGGAGCTCACCAGCCCCCCACACAGTTGCGGCTGAGTGGTGTTACTCATGCAACTCCCTTGCATCACACAAACACTTGAACTGCGCATGCCCTAAAAGTGCTTTTACTTCTCTGTCGAATATACCAGGCACAAAAAAAATATATGCATCCAGTCAAAGGAAATGAATGACGCAGGGAGATATCGCAAACCTGGGTCCAACGCTATGTGTTCGGGGTGGAAGTTCCATCCTTTGTGCCGTGTGATGGTCGTGTACTGCCCCTCTGAAAACTCCCCCCCCCCCCGCTGATATCTATCTCAATCGGGTCGACGTCGTTCCAGGATCGCGATGATTGCCGCGTCATCGTTTCTGCGTATCTTTGACGCATCCAAGCACGCGTCTGTCACAAAGAAACCAGATACATCATATGTCAAATAATCAAACTTTCTATTCAAGACGTTGCGACATAACGCACAGGGTTTGGAACCAGCGTGCCCTTTGTTCATGCGTAGTTCCCGCAATGCCTCTTCGTCCCCTATGACGCACGACAGCTTCGCGACGATCGTCGCGTGCGACGTTGCGTCGCCGTTCTCTGACACGTCTAATGCAACACCGCTCGTCTCAAAATTGAAACCACCAGCAGAATTTTTTTTTTTTAAAAAAAAAAAAAAAAAAAAAACTTCTTTGAGGGTCATCTTGATGCACTGCCCGATGCCACCTGGGATGCTTTTTATTTTTGCGCACCGCGCAGTGCTAAGCGTGAACCACGCATCTTCGTTACCCAAGGACTCGTCGAACTCAGCGAACGACCAGTAAACAGCATCACCCCCCCGATAATCTTTCCCCTTCGCCAGGGGGTCTCGCGGTGAAATACCATCGAAATATAAAATGATGTGCCACGGCGACGCCAAGCTGCATGGGTGCTCCTGAAGTGAGCGGCGAAACATCTCCCTGACTGGAGCGCTAGCCTTGCAGCAGGAATACAAAAATGGCCCAGGACAGCACACCCAGTTCTCGAAAGTTCTACCACTGACTAAAGGCGTGTCTATGCAACGCAAGACGTTCCCATATGCGTTCGACTCTTTGGCAATGATGTTTTCGTTTGCCCTGTATTGTGAGCTCCGTGAAATATTGTCGGGCAACCCATGGTCTCGCACATATTTTAGGACACCCGACAGAGCACGCTGTGACAGGTATGAGCCCCTGTGGAGCTCCACCAGCGCCTCATCCGCCTTGCGTTTCCTGGCGGCGGACGCGGCCATGGTTTCAGCCCAAATGGCTACAGACTCGATAACGATGCCAATGCGCATCATAGGATGCATGCGTCGCGTTATGGTAGGGGCACGCTGCATGATGCATCTGAATGCAGCGAGGCGATAGATCACAACAGAAGTGCACGTTGCATATCGATGCATATGGCATGATACGACGTCGCATCAGAAGTGATGCATGTGCGACGGTAGCTCGCAGAAAGGAGTGTTGCATATTGATGCATGCGACTTGCGATGAAAAGATCGCAACAGACTTGTGTTTTAGACATCATGGTGCAACGTCATACAAGCAAGAGAGAGTTCGTCGATGTGGCGCCGCCCACCGCCGCGCTGCAGCTGCGATGCGAGCTCCCAGCCCTGATGGTCCTCAACAACCCCCTGGTCCTCCCCCTCCCCGCGTCGAGCACCTAACACTTGGCGTCGATCCACGCCAGCGCCGCGCTCCAAGCCTCAATGCGAGTCATCGTCGCATTGCGGCCGAAGCGGACGCGGCGATCTGCCCTCCCCACAACGGCCCTGAACACCTTCTGTGAAGGTTTGTAGATCACGTAGCCGCACCTGTACGGCGCGTTGCACTCGCACGTCGGCGGCTTGGGCAGCACGGCGGGCTCTGGCACGGCAGCTGCGGGTCGCCGCATGGCAGGGGGCCGCGCCTTCTTCATTGGCGCAGCCCCCTCGGCGTCTTCGACGCCTGCCCCGCCCTCGGCGTCACCGACGCCTTCGCCAGCCGCGGAGGGGCGCTTCCTCGCCTTGGCGGTCTTGGCCTTCTTGGCGAGGAGCGCCCTGAGCTTCTCCCCTTCGTCGGTCAGGTCTGGCTCGGGCTCATCATCGCGCGGCTCATCGCGCGGCTCCTCGCGCGGCGGAAGCTTCGGCTCCTGCTGCGGCTCCTCGCGCGGCGGGAGCTTTGGCTTCGGGAGCTCCAGCTCCACGCGCGGCTGCGCAGGCGGCTCGGGCGGCCTGGGAGCCGCGGCCGCCGAGTTGGCGAAGAGCGCCGCGCACAGCGGTGCACCGAACAGGGCCTGCATGACTTGCAACTGCCCGCCAGCCGTAGGGCCTGGGGCTGTCATTGGGGGTGCTCCAGCTGCAGGCGAGGTCTTCGCCGCGCAGCGCCTGCTCGACTTCCTCGCGTAGTCTGGCGCGTCCGTCTGGATCTCCTCCAAGGCGGGCCCATCGTCCTTGTAAGCTGATTTCCACCACGGCTCCGCCGACACGTCCTCGACGCGGTCGAAGTTCCACACCGTGGCGTACCCAAGCGTGGACCAACCCTTGCACGTGCTGGCCTTGGAGATGGCACCCTTCACCTCTCCGAGGAGCCCGAGCCAATCGCCCCCATGCCCCTTGCCGCTGCCCCACGCCACGAGCGCGGCCATCTTGCCCTTGGAGCTCTCGGAGAGCGCGTGGGCGCCGATCAGCTTGCACCGAGCGGCGACCAGGCGTATGCACGCCTTCTCACTCAGGTCGCCGCTCTTCAGCGATTTGATCTCGCTCGCCGTGAAGACCCTCGATGCAATGCTAATCTCTTGCCATTGCTTGGATCCGCCTGGCATTGACAACATGCCTGTCTTGGTCCCGACGCTCTGGCACAAGCGTGCGATGTTCTCTTGAGTCCAAGTGTTCAGCGAGTGCTCCCTGATTGTTTTCACCAAGGCTGTCGCCTCGTCAGTACTGATCTGTGACAGGTTGTTGATCTTCATGAGGAGGCTGTCGTACTGGTGCTGGGCCACGGCTGATGGGCACAGGCCGCATGCGATTTGTGTCGATACCCACTCTGACATGTGCTGCAGTTCCGCGCGGAGGTTCGGAACCGTCGTCATATGACGACAGTTCCGAACCTTCGCGCCTCGCGCCTCGCGATAGGTCGCGCCTCGCGAAAGATCGCGCCTCGCGATAGATCGCGATCGATCGCGATCGAGCCCAAATGGCTATGCGACGCGGGCCTGTGTGATCTATATTCGAAACGAGAACCCGACACCAACTGATGCCAACTTGCAATGCCCCACGCATCGAAGATTGGTTTCGGATGGCAGTGCGAGTCTACCACCTGCAACGGGTTGCATGCATCTTGGCATGCATAGAACCGACGCGTATATGGCGATGTAAGTGTTGCCGCGTCGCGCATCCCCGCCAGCCCATCCTACTCGAACGAAGAGCGCAGACCACCTGCAGTTGTTATCATCATACGTCTCATCATCATTCTCGTTAAGTGCGCGCGCTGATGCCGAGGGGACGGTCCAAGACATCACTCACAGAACCGGCTCTCTGGATTTAACCTCACCAGTCGGGAGCATCCCAAAGTCGCGATCCTCCTTATCCTCCTCCTCTTCCGCCTCATCCTCCTCATCTTCCCCTCCTCATCCTTCTCCTCCTCCTCGTTGCGGCCTTGGGGCTCTATATGTGGTTCCTCGTGGGGTTCTGGCGCTGCGTCATCCTACAGATATCGCGAGGCATCGGATGATCCTATGACGCGAAAAGGCGGAAACGCATAGCACCAATGCCATTCAGAGTGCGAAGCAGTTGTGAGGGAGCGATGGGGGGGGGGGGGGGGGGGGGGGCGGGGAGGTGAGAGCATCAGCACCAGCAGCAACAGGAGGCACGACGAGGAGGGAACGAAGAG